GAGAGCGCGTGCCCTTAAAGCAAAACCTGTTCAAAAAAAAAAAAAAAATCGTCCCAGGCACATGTGGATACAGGGCCAAGATCCCAGGAGGAGAATGAAGAGACCGCTTTGTGGCCATCCCCCCCGGGAGGTGATTTTTCACTTGCCCTCTCATTGTCTCTGTACCCCCCAACCCCAGTAGCACACAGCACACACATCCTTAGGCAAAAACCCCTTTTAAAATTAAAAACTTAAATAAAAATGCCTTCATTGGGGCCAGCAGATGGCATGGCAGTTAAGGTGCTGGACTCCCACACAGCTGACCGCAGATCAAGTCCCACACCTGGAAGCTTGCTTTCTTACCTTCCCTTTCTCTCTTTGTGTCTCTCCCTGGTCAAATTAAAAAATAATACTAGCAAATAAATGGGCCAGCAGATAGCATGGTGGTTAAGGCGCTGGATTCCGACATGGCTGATTGCAGTTCAAGTCCTGGACCTGGTGGCTTGCTTTCTCACTCCCCCCTCGACTCCCGTGAGCACATGTGTCCTATATTAAATTAAAAGAAAATAATAGTAATAAATAAAACTAAATAAATAACTCTTCAAAAACATAATAAAATAAAATAAATAATTCTTAAAAAAAATGCCTCCACTGTTTCCAATATTTGGATAATACAAATAATGCTACAATGGAGACCTTTGTGCATTGTTTTTTTTTTTTTTTTTCTAACCACTTACATTGAACATTATTCTTAGCATGAATTCCAATTACTATTGGGCCTTGCCTTATAGCTTTCTAAAAGACTGTAGATTCATCACTGTGAATGGATTTACTGCTACTGAACTGTGCACTTAAAATGGTATCTTTTATCACAGAGAAAAAGAAAAAAGACGAGGTGGACTTGTACAGAGGGATTATAAACACTGAGACTGCAGGTGTGTTTGAACTCTGAAGCACAGAGAGCAGGGTGCAACACCCAGAAATGGGGCCCAGGAGCTCCCCAGGTCAAGGAACTTACGGCCAGAAACTGACAGCATTCCAAATGAGCCAAGCTATTCACCAACCTTTTCGGAATTCGGGCACATAATGATACGTCTTCTCTCCCAGATGGATTAAGAAGTTGGAAAGGTTCCCACTGATTGCTATGGCAAAGACCAGCGTGGCACATATCCAAAAGGGGCCTGCAAAGGAAACCAGGAAATGCAGAAACAAGAAAATGAAGCACAAAGCTTTAGACTTACAATTTCTGTCCCTATTCATGTAAGGAAGGGAAAAAGAATTTTAGATGCAATCAACTTTTGCTTAATAGGAGTTTTCTTTTTTAAAAGGTCAAAATACAACTCTGTTATTAGCTGCCTTAAAGACCAGGGTGGGGAGGGGTGGGAGGAGCAATTAGAATTCAAAGGCTAAAAAACCTTCTGCAATTAGGTGAATAAAGACACTGATTTGTGTATAGTTTCTCTTATTGGAGGACCATCAAAAAAAAATAAAAAACCTCATAGATATTTTATTAAACTTTTCATCAAGTTACATGAAGCAAAGATCGCCTCCCTTGTCTCAGTGCCAAATGGTAATGCCAGAGAAAAATAAGTTAAATCAGACAGGTCTTTCTATAGTATAAATAAAGAGTGGGGCAAGCAGAACGCTTCAGAGCAGTGAATTTAATCTACCCGTTTTCCAGGTTGTGTGTGTGTGTGTGTGTGTGTGTGTGTGTGTATTTAAAGCTCTCTTTTTCTTTTTTTTTTTTTAATGATAAAGTATTACATGTACATAGCTCAGTGTTCAAAAGATTCAAAGTGGAATAAAAGAAAAACCAACTTCCCTCCCTCTCTGTCTCCTAGCTCTGCTTCTCCCTTCTCCAGAGCTCACCACTGTAACTAGTTTCTGGTGAATCCTGCCAGAAATACTCCATACTCTTGTAGGCATGAGTAAAGTGTTTATGTGTGTGCAAGTTCCAAACAGATGATAACCTACGGCTATATCCTGCCATGCACCTCTCGATTCCACCACAGCTATTCACAGAAATAAGCTTATTCTTGTTTAATGGTTTTAAAACATTGCTGAGTGGGTGAGTGTGCCATGCTCTGTGAACCCTTTTCATCATTTGCTTGATTTCATAAACACCATTCTTGTCTCCCTCCACCTAGAAAAAAGTACCGTGTAAAACAAATAAAATTTTTTTCCCTTTTTTCCCCCCCTTTTTTCAGAGGTTGCATGTGCTCACCAGAGAAAAATGGAGGTCAAGGAGGAGGAAGAGGAGAAAGCACCCCCCCAGGAGGGGTGGTCTTGCTGCAATTCCTTCACCATTTTTAGCACCTGCTCTATGCCAAGCCCTCTGCCAGGCTCTGAAGACAGATTAATCCCATGCAGAAACTGTCCCTCAAGAGGTTCTCAGGCTAGAAGTAAGAATAAATGAGACAACAAGAAAGAGAACCCTCCCTAACAACCTGTAGACGAGGAGGTAGGACAATGCAGTGGTTTTCACCCAGGCCTCCCGGGGCTCCAGACATTCCACAGAGCCCATGTTTATAATCAACATATAAAACTGCTTTACTATGCTTTGTTTAGGATTAAGCATATGTATTAGTGAACCTCATTGAGTGTCAGCTTCCTCATTTGAAAAGTGGGGATACTTTGTAGGGGTGGCTGCAGAAATGAACTATGAGCAAGCACACGGAGTCTCCGACTGAGCACCTGGCGTGCGGCCAGTACTCAGAGCTGCTGGCTCTCTCCCCCTCAAACACAGAAGCCTGCTGTTGTTGGCCCCTTGCATGAGGAGCACCGAGTGAACTTCTGAGTGTTTCTCAGACCGCAGGGAGGTCGGGATGCCAGTCATCTCTGGCCCATCCCTATTCCAAAATTCCAGTGCTGCTGGCCAAAGCCCAAGGGACTCAAGGGAGACCAGCTCATCTGAGGGCAGAGCTGGAACTCAGCCTATTAATGGAAAGGTGGGAGAATACCCTCTCCATATGCACCCCACCACTAAACCTCCGTAAATTAAAGTCAACAATCTCCTCTTAGACAAAGTGACTTAATTTGTCTCTAGTCTAGCTTGTAATGTCATTTTGAAGACTTCTGAAGGGTATACTAGTACCAGTAACCATGGCATTAATAAAACATATCATTGCATTTTCCCCTAAATTCTTCACAAGGGTTGGGCCAGCCTGTGGTGTGGTGATTAAGGAGGCTGGATCCCACTTAGCCAACTTTGCGATTTGAGTCCTGGACCTGGTGGCTTGAAAAACACACTGAGCGTATGTGCCTAAACTCCTACAAGGAGAATGAAGAAGGGACTGTAGTGTGGCCATATCCCTGAGGAGTGATTTCTCTCTTTCTATTTCTCTTTCTTTCTCTCTCTCTCCCCATCTCTTTCTGTCAAGCACATGTACCCTATAGAAAAAAAAAAAAAAAAAAAAAAATTAAATAAATAAATAAATAAATAAATAAATAATTTGCAATGGTTGCTACTGAAGCTCAGAAGTGTTAAATAAGATATTGCAAACCCCATCAAAACAGTACAATTCTCCACCTTCTAGACAACCCATACATTCACCCGAGTTCAACTGGAATAAGGCAAAAACTCAAAATGGCACTATATACCATAGAGATCTGGATTGCTGCGGATATACAACCTCACAAAGTTTTTTCCGGGTATCGGCAAAAGGGACCCTTTTATTCTGTCAAAGACCTGGAAAAAAAAATATTGGTAATTCTACTGAAGAGTTTTCTTTTAAGTTCAATAAATTAAAGTACTACAAAATGGAAACCCAGTTATTGGAGCTTTTATGAAAGTATAGTCATCCCTCGGTATCCACAGGGGACTGGTTCCAGGATCCCATGGGGACCAAAATCCATGGGTGCTCAACTTGCTCACATAAAATAGCACGGTATTTCCACATAATCTACACACATTATTCTATATATTGTAAGTCATCTCTAGGTTACTTACATTACCTAATATAAGTTGCTATACTGCATTATTTAGGCAGTGAGGGCAAGGAAAAAAGTCTACATATTTGGTACAGATGCAACCAATCTTTTTCAAATATTTAAAATATATATATTTTATTTTATTTATTTCCTCCAGAAACAAGTGGTGGGGGAAGAGAGAGTGAGAGCACTCATCCAACAGGGGCTTGACACTGCAACCCACACCCAGCTTCAATCGAGCCCAGATCCTGGGCACACACATGCCTGGTGTGCTCAGGAAGGTCTCCAGAGGCAAACCCACAACCTTCCCCTGTGGGTCAGCCTCACACAGCGTGGTGCAGCACTGCAGCACCATCCAGTCCCCTTATTTCAGTATTTCCAATTCACAGTTGGGTCTGTGGAGGCAGAATCTGTGCTGACTATAGTCTCTTCTCAAAAGCTAATATTTCTGCAAGGCCACATCCAGTACACAGAGACTTTCACATTATTCGCCTCTATAACCACAGAAAAAACAGGTCTCCATTACAGGTAAAAGTAAAGTGAAGCCATGACACACCTGGTAAGTGTCCACGTCAAAGAATGTCTGATAGTATTCAAATGTCCAGAAGGGGGAGCTTTTCTTCTGTCCAGCAAGTAACTGTCGGAGGTAAAATAAAACAGTGAACACAAGCAGCTTCCTAATTCTAGCTGCACAGAAGAGAAAGAGAGCTGATCTAATGGAAAACCACAACATACAAGACACCAGGCCCCTCTGCCTTCAATAACCAATTCTGCAACAGTCGACACCCACTCTCAGCCTCATATAAAACAACCACTAGGCCCAGTCGGGGTAGCATATGCTGGATGCTGCGGCTTGGTGGGCTGAGGCCACACGGCAGGTCTGAGTTGAATTCTTGGCCCATCCTGAAAGGCTGGGCATGGTGACTCACACCTGTAGTCCCAGCTAGACAAGAGACTGAGGCAGGGGGATAGAGACACAACAAGGCCCTGTCTAGAAAAACAAAACAAAACGCACACACGCACATGCACACACACATGCACACGCACACGCACAAGCACACCAAGCACAGGGGCTTTTCTTTTTAATTAAATTTTATTTATTTATTTATTTAAATTATTTATTTAATTGTATTTGTTATTATTATTCTTTAATTTCACCAGAGAGAGAAAGAAAGAGAGAAAGTAAGCCACCAGATCAGGACCCAAACCTCAGTTAGCCATGTGGGAGTCCAGTACCCCAACCACCACGCCACCCTTATTATTTTTAAATTTAGTTTATTTAGTTCTTGAGAGAGAGAAAGGTTCCCTGGACAGGGTCCTCACACTGGAATCCACTCCCAGACTCAGCCGGCCAGGCTGCAGCAGGTGCATGTGGGCCCAATGTGCTTAGGGAGCCACAAGACCTTCCCCCAACGAGTCCAGCTGTGTTACCACTGTGCCACCTCCTGGTCCCAGAATCAGGGATTTTTATTTTATTATATTTTTAAAAAATGTTCTTTGATACGTCTTCTACCCAAGCCATCAACTAAAGATTACATTGATGTGCATTTTGATTAATTTATGTAACACCACCAATTATTAACCTATTTTTTTTTTGAGACGTTTTGTTTTTGTTTTTGTTTTTTTGCTATGGGGACGTGCACTTGCCAGAAAGACAGAGAGAGATAGAAAGTGAGAAGTTACCCCCCTAGGGGGGATGGCCACGTCACAATCCCTTCTCCTCCATTCTCCTCTTAGGATCATGGGCATGCATGCACTTGCGCCCCATGTGAGTCCAAGCCACCGGGTCCAGGACTCGAACTGCAGTAGACTACACGGGAGTCCAGCGATGTAGCCATTATCTTGTGTGCTGGTCCCCCAATTATTAACCTTAGAGCAAAAGGGATAGTTAGTCAAGGATGGTTATATTAGGAGATTATGCTAACCAGTTTAGCAATAACCCACAACCCTAAGCATCGGCTTTGGTCACACCAAAAGGTTTCAAATCCTGGCCCCTCCACTGGGGAGGGGGGAGGAGCTTCAGCAAATCACTAGTCTCCTCTCAGGCTTAGTTCTCTTACCTAAAAAATATAGTTTAAAAGATCTACTTCACAGGATTCACAGGGAGGATTAGATCTCATGGTATACAGGATACCTATCATGGGCATTTACAAATACATGCACACACATGCACAAATACAAAGGGCTGTCAGTGTAAATATCTCCTCCTCCACTCCTTCAAGAGCCTTCCTATGACTGCTCCCTGAATTCTCAAAAATATGATAGACTAACTCCTCTACAGTAATACAACGATCACAACTCTGACAAAAAAAAACAAAATTCCAGTTTAGACGAGGCACCTGAAGAGGGCCATGCACGTCCCAGGAACACAGCTCTTCAATGGCAGATGCAGGCCCTATGACAGGAGCTGCGACAGCCACCTTCAGATATCTGAAGAGGATGCATACAGCAAAAGATACAGGGGCTTCTGAGCAGCTCTAGGATAAGGGCTGCTGCTGCGGGCGGATATTTTCTGTTCAACAGAAAGGAAAAGTGGTTTACAATTCAAGTCCAACCCTGTCAGCAGCTGCCTCACAAGGCAATAAACAGCCTTTTTCGGGAGGTATTCACAAGCTGTCTTTCTTTTATTTTTCCCCTCCTAGCCAGAGGATGCATGTGCTCTCCAGAGACAGAGGAAGAGGGACAAAGTATCCCTCCGTGGAATGTGGTCACGCCGCAATCCCTTCTCCATTTCTCCATCCTGCCAGGATTTTGGACATGCACACACATGAACCCAGCATGCGTCTCAAGCCAGTGGAGCCAGGATTTGAATTACACAGTCAGCTGTGTGGGATCCAGGTGCCTTAACCCCTAGGCCATAGGACTGGCCCAAGAATTGTCTTTCTAATATACCATACAGCAATAACATCTTGGAAGAGCGTTAAGAGCGGCCGAAATAGAGGACCCTAAAGGTTCTTTCCAACTCTTAAAATGACCAGATATTGAACACTGGAGACCCACAGTCCACAAAGCTAGGCCAAGGAATTCTGTCAACTGTCAGGGAACACTTGAAACCTCTTCCTAATTCCTAGACTAAATTATGATAACGGATAGAATGTGTTCCATTTTAAGCCCCTCCCCAAGCCCCATACATATGTCTCTGTAAGCTTCGACGCCTGCTGATGCTGTGTGTTGGGCAATTTTGTGTCAAACTGACCAGATCGTGGTGCCAGATACTGGTCAAATATCATTCTGGATGTTTCTGTGAGGGCCTTTCGGATGTCATTTACATTGAAATGGATAGGCTTTGAGTAAAGGTACTGTCCTCCATAATGTGAGTGGTCCTCAGTCTGCTGAAAGCCTGGAAAGAACCAAAGGGAACCTTCTACCTCCTACTTTTCCCAACCAGAGGGGATTTTCCAGCAGATGCCTTTGAACTGCAACTGTTTCCTAACTCTCCAGTGTGCTGGCCTTCCCCATCACGTTTGGGACTCATCAAACTTCCATCATGGTATAAACCAACTCAGGAGCTGTCTTTCTTTTACCCACCCCCCACCCCCAGTCAGAGGATGCATGTGCTCTCCCGACACAGAGAGGAAGAGGATAATCTCTCTGTACATACCCAACCTATTGGTTCTCTTTTCCTAGAAAACCCTAATACACTTGGCTGTGTTAATAATTACTCCTGCACCCTGGGGGTGCCAGCCACTTACCATGTACTAATTCTCCTGCAAAAAAGAACTGCACAGAATCCGGACTCAGACTGCCTGAGTTAAAGTGCCACCCGCCACCTGCCAGTTGTGTGTCCTGGGGCAAGTGACTTCAACTCTATGCTTCAGGTTTCCCATTTGCAAATGAGGACAAGACTAGCTCCTGGCTCATAGGGTTGTTCTGAGGATTAAATGGGATGATCTAAGTAGAGTAGTCCTCCCCTTCGCCACAGGAATGGGTACAGTCTAAGAATCGCCAGTGGGTGTCCAAAACCTCAGATAGATAGTACTGAACCCTATCTATAACAGGTCTTTTCCTACAAATACGCACTTATAATAAAGTTTAATTTCTAAACCAGGCCCAGTAAGAGATTAACAACAATAATAAAGTGGGACAATTAGAGCAAATACTGTGATGCAAGTTATGTGAGTGTGGTATCTCTCTTTTTCTCACCCTTCGGTGCCACACTCACCCATTTTTAGACTGAGGTTGACAATGGTTAGCTGACAGCATGAAAAGCTGAACTGCGGATAGAGGGGACTACTGTAAGAAACTTTGACTGATATCTGGCAGCCATTAGACACTGAAAAAATACTAGCTATCGTGATGATAATGATGACAAGAGTCCGCATATGATGATGATGATTTCTTTTTTTTTGCTATACGAAGCGTGCACTCGCCAGACAGAGACAGAGCGACAGAAAGTGAGAAATCACCCCCCAGGGGAGATGACCACGCTGCAATCCCTTCTCCTCCATTGTCCTCTCAGGATCTTGGGCACGCACGCACACATGCCCGGCGTGAATTTAAGCCACGGGGTCCGGGGCTCAAACTGTGGCTGACTACATGGGAGTCCAGCGACATAGTCATTACGCCAACTGCTGGTCCCAGATGATGATAATTTTTTAGAGATTTTTGCTATAGGATGGTGCACTTGCCAGAGAGAGAAAAAACGAGAAATCACCCCCTGGGGGGATGGCCATGTCTCAATCCTTTCTCTTCCATTCTTTTCTTGGCATTTTGAGCATGTATGCACACACAGCCTGTGTGAATTTTAAGTCACTTGGTCCAGAACGCGAACTGTGGTGGAATACGTGGGAGTCTAGCAACATAACCATTATGCCACCTGCTGGTCCCAGTGCATTGTTGTTATTATTACTGTTATCATTTTAAGAATTATTTTATTTATTTTTATTTTTTCATTCATTTTTATGAAGAATTATTTAATTCCATTTGTTGTTATTATTATTATTTTTAATTTGACCAGAGAGAGAGAAAGAGAAAGGGAAAAGGAAAGCAAGAAAGCAAGCTGCCAGGTCCAGGACTGAAACCGTGATTGGCCATGTGGGAATCCAGCACCTTTAACCTGTCACCTGCTGGCCCCTCACTCATTTATTTTAATTTGACCACAGAGAGAGAGAGAGAGAGGGAAAAGTGAGAAAGCAAGCCACCAGGTCCGGGACTCAAACTGTGGTCAGCCATGTGGGATTGTCTTAGCACCTTAACCACCATGCCACCTGCTGGTCCCCAGTGGCATGTTACTATTTTAAGATGAGGAAACCCAGGCTAAAGAAAGTGAAAGTACTTGCCCAAGACCACACAGCTTTTACTGCTGGCAGGACCAAGATTCGAACTCAAGACTCTTAAGTCTGAGCCTTTGCCATTATATGTAGTACATAATGGTTACTTAATTTGGTATAAAATCTAGTACTATTTTAATATTTCATAGAGTTTGAGGAAGAGCAACTACTATTCAAGAACTCTACAATCTTAATAAGCCTGTGAACCCACTACTGTAAACAGAGTGCTCCTCTAATACATTATAATCATGACTCAATTTATAAAACAGTAACAGAATTACTATTTTTCTGGGCCAGCCCCATCATGCAGTGGTTAGATGCTGTGCAGAGGAAATCAGATCCCATCAGGCCAACCAGGATTTGAATCTCAGCTCTGTCAGCTTCACGCCAGGTACACAAGTGCATGTGCCCAGGATCCTGATAGGATGGAGAACTGGAGAGAAAAGAATTGAGGCACACTAGGCCCCACTAGGGGGTGCGCATGTGCGCTCTCTCTTTCTCTCTCTCAAAGTACGAACACACACACATACAAAACTACTTTTCTGAAACTCACCAACTGTGTACATGGGAATATATCCTTGTGATCAGAAACAAATATATGATTTGTTCACTATCCAACGAGACAGAGACCTAAAACCCTTTCCCTCTCCCTCATCTGGCTCTTTCTGCCAGGTGCTACTGAGCCCACCCTGATCATCTATGTCCAACTCTAGTTCAGGCTTCATCACATGTAGCCTGCACCACATCAACAGTCTCCTACCTGACCTTCTGGCCCCTGGTCTATCTGCTCCAATGTGTACTCCACATGGCCACCGTATTTTAAATGTATCCTATTTAAAATATTGCAATAGCTCCCAATTGTTTCCAGAATTCGTACTCATTGGCCCCAGCCTCCATGCAGCAGTTGGAAGACTGCAGTGCTAGAAGCAACCAAGCCAACAGTGGTTCTAATCCACAACGCAGTCAGCCTGAAACATGAACAGACCACTTACAGTAGGATGCTACATCATAGCAGGATGCTGCATCCTATCGCAGGAATAGTGGGTTCTTATTTATTTATTCATTTCGAGAGAGATTTTTGCTATAGGGCACGTGCTTGCTATAGAGACAGAAAGAGACAGAGAGACAGAAAGTGAGAAGTCACCCCTCAGGGGGATGGCCACATTACAATCCCTTCTCCTCCATTTTCCTCTTGGGGATCCTGGGCACACACATGCACACACCTTGAGTTTTTTTTTTTTTTTTGGAGAGATTTTCACTGTAGGGCGCATGCGCTCGCCAGACAGAGAGAGACATAGAGACAGAAAGCGAGAAATCACCCCCCAGGGAGGATGGTCACGCCGCAATCCCTTCTCCATTCTCCTCTCGGGATCTTGGGCATGCACGCACACGCGCCCGGCGTGAGTTTTAAGCCACCGGGTCTGGGACACGAACCGCGGCCGACTACGTGGGAGTCCAGCGACATAGCCATTACGCTAACTGCTGGTTCCCTCACACACCTTGAGTTTTAAGAGTTGGTCCAGGGCTCGAACCGGGTCTGGGACTCCAACTGCGGTTGACTATGTGAAAGTCTAGTGATGTAACCATTATGCCATCTGCTGGTCCCTAGGCATAGTGTTTTATCTCTTAGAGTAAGGCACAGACATTTCTTTGCTGATTTCTTCAGGAACAGAGACTTTAACCAATTGCTAGCCAAAGAATTTCAAACTCACCTATGACCTACAAGCCTTGACGTCCTGATGTCCCACCTTTTGGGGTGGGCCAATGGAAAAGATTCTTTATGCTGATTGACACCTCTCCTGCTCTCAGAACTAAGTAAAAGGAACCACTGTATCTTAGCATCCTGAGAAACACATTTGTCTTTCTCTGGCCCTGATCACTCAGTTTTGTGCTTAGCAATAAACTGCATTAATTATTATGTCTAGAGTTGGTATTTCCATCAACAGATGCCCAAGATCCTGATGAACTGGACCCTGGGGGACCAGGGATCATGGTGTGACTCAGACCAGTGGGGGGCGCTTCTCTCTCTCTCTCTCGCACACACAAGCTCTATCACGAATAAAAACACAATTGAAACTACAAATTCATATTCCTTGGGTTTAGGTCTGGCCTATCTGTACTGCCTCATCTCCTGTGTTAACCTATATTTTGCTCCCAATGTCAGTAAAAATGGGACATTTCTGCCTGTACCATGTTCATGCCTCTGTGCCTTCACTGAAATGTTCCCTTTGTCTAGACACCCCCTCCTCGCTTCTTCCCCTGGCTGCCTCCTTCTTTTTCATTAGACTCAGTTCAAGTCACTGCCTTCAGGAAGCCTTCCCTAACCCCTTTTCTCTGTTCCCATCATCCCCACGACCCCCTCCACCAGACACTTCCTAAATAATAATGGTCTGTTTGCCGGTCTGCTTCCACCAAGGCAGTGGTGACTAAGCGTCACTGACCTTTGTGTCGCCACTGCCTAGCACTAGACCCGGCACACGGTAGATAGTGAATAAATGCATGGACAAGCTTTAAAAGAGATCAAAAGACAAAGGTTTCAAAACAAGCTCTTTTTTAAAAAATAATTATTTAATTTTACTTATTTCTTCATTTATTTTCATTTTACCAGACACACACACACACATACACACAGAGGGAAAGTGAGAAAGCAAGCCACCAGGTCTAGGACTTGAACCACAGTGGGCCATGGGGGAGTCCAGTGCCTCAACCACCATGCCACCTGCCGACACCCATCAAAGACAAGTTCTGACCTCAGTTTTGTCCGAGTCATCATTTCCCAGTAACTCATCATCTTCTTCTCTCCCTGAACCTCCTGGGGGTCCTGGCTGATGGTCTGGGGTTTCGCCAGGATCCTCAATGCTTATTGTGGTGGCATCTGGGTTTGCCGCAAGAGAACTGGCTGCATCACCAAATTCTGAAACCGATGAGAGTACAAAGACCTCAGGCACCTGAGCCACACTAGAGATGCTGCTACTGTTAGTTTACGGCAGGTTGCAACCTCTGCTTCACTACAGACCCTACCTAATACAAACAGCAAGAGGCTCTGAAAATATTACATCTAGAAATCGATCCACATAGAAAGATGATTAGAATGACAACAGGCTATGGAATCAGGTCTGGATCTTAGTTATGGCTCAACTACTTACTAACTACATGAGCTGGAGTAAGTACCTTAACCTCTGTTAATGTCAGTGTCCCCATCTATATAATGGGGAGAATAATATTTTATTTTAAAGAATGTGGGGATGGTTTGAAGTATTACTTAAATAAAGTCCTAAACTTCTCTTTTTTGATTCAAGTTCAATAATCTTTTTTAAAAAGAGACGTTTTTGCTATAGGGCGCACGTTCTTACCAGAGAGACAGAAAGCAAAAAATCACCCCCACCCCACCCCAGGAGGAGAGCCACACTGCAATCCCTTCTCCTCCATTCTCCTTTCAGGATTTTGGTCACACATGCACATGTGCCTGGAATGGGTTTCAAGCTGCTGGGCCAGGGATTCGAACCACAGTCAACTATAAGGGAGTCCAGTGATATAAACATTATGCCATCTGCTGGTCCCCAAGTTCAATACATTTTAATGGAAGCTATTTTTTCCAGTAAGTCCATGTAATTACTAGAAATACTTGGACAAAAAAACATGAAAGTAGAGGGCCAGTAGGTGACATGGTAGTTAAGGTGCTGGACGTCGACGTGGCTGACTGTGGTTTGATTCCTGAGCCAGTCGGCTTGAAAATCATGGTGGGTGCGTGCATGCATGCCCAAAATCCCTAGAGGAGAACGGAGAAGGGATTTTGCTGTGGCCTTTCCCCCTGGCGGCGGGGTGGTGGTGGTGGTGATTTCTCATTTTCCTGCTGTCTCTCTCCAATAAGCACACACTCCCAATGGGGGAAAAAAAAGTAGAAATCATAGAATAAAGATGACTCTTAGTTTCACCACAAAAGGCAATGATCATTTTGTATATTTAGTTTATTACCATTTTGGTATATTTAGTTTTCTTTAGTGAGACTCATTCCAGTGATGATCATTCATTTATGCAGCAAGTATTTTCCGTATACTTACAAAGTGCTAAGTACTGATCCAGGATGCAGTGCTAGTACATAAAGAATTTTGTATCCTACTTGGACTACTGGGGATTATAAATAAGAATGACTTTTTCATATTATTCGTCTTTAAGATGACCATTTATGGGACTATATAATTTTTTTTTACTTTTTTTTTGCTATATGGCATGTGCATTTGCTGGAGATAGAAAGAAAGAGGGAAAGTCAGAAATCTCTCTCCAGGGGGATGACCACAGTGCAATCCCTTCTCCTCCATTCTCCTCTTAGGATTTTGGGCAAACACACACATGTGCCCGACGTGAATTTCAAGCCTCCAGGTTTGGGGCTTAAACCATGCAGTCAACCATGTGGGAACCAGTGCTGTAACTACCATTCCACCTGCTGCCCTGGCGATGCATCATATTTAATGAGTGAAGTGTGTTTTTTTGTTTGTTTTTGTTTGTTTGTTTGTTTGTTTTAAGAGAGAGATTTTTGCTATAGGGCACATTTGCTTGCCAGAGAGAAACAAGAGACAGAAAACAAGAAATCAACCCTCAGGGGGGTATGGCCACACCACAATCCCTTCTCCTCCATTCTCCTCTTGGGATTTTGGCCACACACACACACACACACACACACACACACACACACACACACACATGCCCAGCATGAGTTTCAAGTTGCTGGGTCCAGGACTCAAACCATGGTCAACTATGTGGGAGTCCAGCAATTTAACGATAAATCTACTAATCCTCATCAGTGAAGATTTTATTACAAATGGACAAGGAGAGTCAGAATAGAGAAAGTTTTGGAGTTACAGTCTTAGGATGAACTCCCACTGGTGCACAAAGGTGCAAACCCTTTTAAGTCTCCTGAGCCATAGTGCTTTCTAAAGAACCTTACCTATGCATGTCCACAGCATGACTGAGAGTCTTGAATCTGAGAATCCTAACACTCCTCATTAGGCTGCTCTTGAACAAAGTCCAGGGCAGCTCTGAACGTCTGAAGAGCTAAGGGAGGGCACCAGAAGGGTACCATTGTGACTTTAAGGCATGACAGAAATTCTGGCAGTAGGATGGGCTCCTGAACAACTCATTTTTATTGTCTCTCAGCTATACGAGTGGCTTTACAGAGAACCAGTATGTTACAGCTCCCAAAGCCTCAGTCGCTGGTGTTTGGGTTGATGAACAGCACGAGGCTCTGGAGTAAGAGGGTCTTTTGTTCAAGTTAAGGCTCTGACGCTCAGCAGCTCCTTGACCTTCGGCAGATAATTCCATCTTATTCTCTATTTCTTCAACTATAAGATGTGGATAAGATCTCCTTCTCAGATAGACTCTGAGGATGATAGAAGATAATAAATACTGTTTTTTTTTTTTTTCTTTTTCTTGGTAGAGGTTTTTGCCTTAGGGTGAGTCCACTCACTGGAGAGGAAGAGAGACAGAGAGAGAGAAAGGGAAAGTGAGGAATCACCCCCAGGGGCGATGGCCACATGGCAATCCCTTCTCCTCCATTTTCCTTCTGGGATTTTGGTATGCACACACATGCACCCAGCATGAGTTTCAAGCCACCAGGTTCAGGACTCAAACCGGGGTTGGCCATGTGGGAGTGGCGACATAACCTCTATGCCGTCTGCTGGCTCCCTTGGTGTACTTCTTTTTTTAAATTATTATCTATTTAATTTTAAAAATTATTATCATTTTGTTTGCTATAGTACTCATACATTCACCAGAGAGAGGCAGACAGAGAAAGAAAGAAAGAAAGAAAGAAAGAAAGAAAGAAAGAAAGAAAGAGAAAGAAAGAGAGAAAGGGAGAGAACGAACGAACAAACAAATGGGGGAGGGAGGGAGGAAGAAAGAAAGAAAAAGCAAGCTGTCAGGTCCAGGACTCAAACTGAGATGGGCCATGTGGGAGTCTAGCACCTTAACCACCACGCCACCTGACAGCCCTGATAAATACTGTTACAGCTACCATTTATTAACTGGATAGGTACTTATACGCTGGAGGGAATCAGACCAAGAAAGATATAATTAAGTTGCATATTTAAAAATAATTTAAGGGCCAGCAGGTGGCATAGAGGTTAAGGTGGTAGACTCCCACATAGCCAACAACGGTTCGAGTCCTGGACCTGGTGGTGGACATGTGTACATGAATGCCCCAAATCCCAGAAGGAATACAGAGGAGAAGGGATTGCAGCATGGTCATCCCCCCCCAGGGGGAGGGGGAGCAGTGATTTCTCACTTTCCCTCTTTCTGTCTCTTTTGTCTCTCTCTGGATGGTGCCCATGGCAAAAACTACACCACGGCAAAAATCTTTTTTTTTTAAAGAATTATTTATTTAATTTTATTTATTCATTCATTTTATTTTTTAATTTGACCAGAAAGACACACAGAGAGAGAAAGAGAGAGTGAGAGAGGGAAAAATGAGAAAGCAAGGCACCAGGTCCGAGACTCGAACTGTGGTCGGCCATGTGGGAGTCCAACACCCTTATCCACCATGCCACCTGCCAGCCCCAGGAAAAATCTTTAAAAAAAATTTTAATTGTCAGAGGGCACATGAATTTGCCAGAAAGAGAAACAGAGAAAGAGTAAAAAGGAGAAAGTCCCTCCCCAACAATGGAGCAAGGTCATGCCACAATCCCTTCTCCATTTCTTCATCCCAACTCAGACATCTGACACATTTTTCAAAATTCTGGAGCTGGGATTCAAACCACAGTCACCCACATGAAATCTGGCTCCCTTAGCTGCTAAACTATAGGACCAGCCCAAAATTACACATTTAAAATGCCTGGATTTCCAGGGGAAAAGGCATACCAGAAGGAGGAACAAAGAGTATGACTTTAGAAGTATAAAGACCAGGGATCAGCAGATGGTGTAATGGTTACATCTCTGGATTCCCACGAAATCGACTGCAGTTCAAGTCCCAGACCCGGAGACTTAAAACTCACGCTGGGCACATGAGTGTGTGTGCCCAAGATCCTGAGAGAAGAATGGAGGAGAAGGGATTGTGGCATGGCCATTCTCCCTGGGAGGTGATTTCTTGCTTTCTGTCTCTCTGGTGAGGGCACGTGCCCTCTAGCAAAAATCTCTCTTTAAAAAAAGTACAAAGGCCAAAGAGACTCAAAGGAGAAGAACTCAGCTACTTGAAGGGATCAGCAAAGGCTTCTTGGAGAAGATGGCCTGTGAGAAGGATGGCCAGAGGTGCTGGGCACGGCATCTCATCTCATGGCAAAGCAAAGGGGATGAGCAAGACTCAGAAGCTGGAAAGTGGGTCTCAAGCTGAAGGGACAGTAGATGGCAGAGCTGGAGTGCAGGGTGTGTGTGCCTCTAGCATGAGGTCTCTTCACATTCCGCTCTGGATCAGCTCTCCCGTCCACCGCAGCCCCTTGAGAACGAGACTGCTATGCCCTGTATTTCTGCCATCAACATCCCCTGCTTCTCAGGCATATCCTGAGCCGCCTTTTGCCTCTTACCTTTCCTGCTATAATGGCTCTCCCCTGAACTCTACTCTTTCATCTGATACTACCATCCCCCTGGAGAAGCCATCCAGAACGCCATGCACTGTGTTCACAAAGACCAAAGCCTGATGTGATTTGTCACCTGCGTCTTCTCACCTCGCCTGCGTCAGCCTCCCCCTGCCTCTGCGCTCTGGGACACAGGTCTTCTTGCCATTCTTTGGGAGAAAGATAAACTTCTTCCCTCCTCAGGGACTTTGCCTGTGCTGTTCTCTCTGCCTGAGCTTTCCCACGTTGTACGCCTATGGAGCAACCAAGGAAGCCCTCGCGAATGAAGTGTGATTTGAAAAGAGCAAAGGAGCAAGCCCTGTGGCTCTCTGGGCAAGAATGTCCCAAACAGGAAGTTGGCACAAAGGCCTTAAGGTGGAGTGCACTTGACACGTATGCGGAAAAGTGACAAGCCCGGGTGACTGGGGCAGACAGAGAAAGGATGAGAACAGCAGGAAGTGAAATCAGAGCCAAGAAGGGTTCGATTGTGGAGGGTTCTCCTGAGTC